TTTAACTTTCATTTGATATCGTGCTTAGGTCTTCTTACAGTCTCGTCAATTAATTTTTTTTTTTTGATGAAATTTCCCGATTTTTAAGCTTGCTTTCCCTTGCACAATCCTAAATTGTTAACTATAATATGCCACATCACTCATCGTCATTGATTAGTTATATTGATACTCGACGCATATATTTTTTGGTCTTTTTTCCAGTGCCAAAAAAATACAAATTACAAAAAAATGTTGTTTGAAAATATCTTAAGAGAAAAATGTAAAAAGACATTAAGAGAAAAGTGTGGAAAAAATATTCTGTTATGTCAGAAATTATATTAAAAATGTTATATTTTAATTATATTTAATTATTTGATTACCTTAATTCATTATTCGTCTTAATTACATTATGTTATTTAAAAATTACATATAGATGTACTATTAGATAATTATCCCTCTTCCTAAGAATATTTATTATTCCTTTTGAATCTTGGGGACTTAATTTAAAAAGGAAAACCCACAAAGAATAACTTATGGAGAATAAGAAAAGTATTTTAATTTTATTAGGTTTAATTATTTTTTTATATTTTTTACGAAGAATAATTGGCAAAATTTGTCGTAAATACTTGGTATATTGTGACTCGACGGATAAATGTTTTAATAAACTAAAAAAAGAAAGAATAATTTATTGCGTGAAGGTGATTATGAATTTATTTTTAAAAAGTTTAATGACATCTGAAGTGGACATATGTTGTATGTACACTTTAGCTGAAATTGAGTGGAAATTTTTTATTTACAGAAAAAAGTTGAAAAACTAAAATTTTTACCTTAAGGAATCTATATGAATTGCTATCTGAATTCTTCAGAATAGCTTTGTTTGCAATTAAAAAAAGTTTTCAGCTATCACTTGAACAATAAGATCAAAGAACAACTATGCTTATTGCATTTAATTAATTAGTTCTCTCTTACATTCAGTGCTTTCGCAATTAAGCAGGTGGTATTATTATTTATACACGTTACATCATTAATTTTATATTTCACATTACTATTCATTTTCTTACTGGTTTTCCTGTTGTTTTATGGCTGATAAAATGATATTCAAACTTCTTAATATTATTATTATGAATTATTATAAAGTTTTTATTAGGAAGAGTGAAAATCTTAAGGTTAACGGTGCCGAAAAAATACATCTTGTCATAGCTAATAGTTTCGGTAGGCTGATTTTCTATTGTGATCCTTAGTATTTGTTTAAAAATATTGCATAATATCAAGGTTCATTTTAGAAGGAATCATTATGATCAAATTAATTAGCACTCAATTTAAGAAAATGAAGTAAGCATGATGAGCAAATAATATATTGTCCATCAATTAAAATATTAAAGGGAATTTAAAATCACTTCTCAAACGCAACCCTTTATATTACTACAAATGTTAAGTTTCAGTAAATTACTATTGAGCAGTTAAAAAAATAAAAATATAAGAATTAATTTTTCTGTTATTTTGTTACCAAGGTTTTTTTTGATACTTTTAAACATTCTGTAAAGAATTAATTGGTAAAAGAAGTTAGGTGAGCAATGTCATTACAGTTCTCTTCTGAAGTTGTTGTTCACACAAGTGAATAACTTCTTCATTCATTGGATGGTTCATAAACAGAAAATGAAAATTCCATCACCTTCTTTATCATTTATTTCAATGAGTTGCAGAAAATCTAATTATCAATAAAGCATGCAAATTTAATGTATTAATCGTTATAAGGATATGGCGTTCAGTGTACATGGGAGAAAGAATGATGGTAATTAATATATTACATTTCCTATTTGAAACTATTGAATATTACTTTCAGTGTTATCACCTATTGATTTAAGCAACGACAAATCACAGCCATGCAAATTAAATCATTATGCTAGCACTATTTACGTAAATGCATTGAATTACTTAATTAACATCACGCTTAAACCCTTATTTTTTATAGAAAACTAATGCAAGCATTTTTTTTTTTTTGTTTACTAAACATTAAAGGTAATGTAAATCTTTTAAAAAAACAGTGAAGTATCTTTCTATAACAAAAATATCAACACAGACTTCGAAGAATGAAGCAATATGATTGACTTAAATTTATCTATCTACAATTGCGTGTTTATTTAAAAACACTCAAGTTGAATTTGAAGCAGTTTATTTTTTGCGGATTAAGTTACAATTTCGCATGATAAACGAGAAAATCATTTAAAGATAGGTAAATAAATTTGTAAAATTAATTGATGACGAATATTTTAACATATATCAAAAAAAAAAAGAAAAGAAAATGAAACCTTTATATTATTTTAAAATTCCGTTATAGTTCGATTTTGGCCCTACCAAGAGGCATTTTATTCTCAAACTCGCTTCCTTTCTCATATTGTATTTTTTTTCTAAAGTTTCCTATTTCTTTACAATCGGCAGACAAGTACCTTGAAGTACTGAGATCAGCAAATTCTTCTACAAAATCATTGCAAGTTTTTTCGGAAAGCTTTCTCTTTTGGATTTATGAATATTTTTCACCTTCCAACAGTTTTTACTTCAAATTTTCTTCTTTCTTACTCCAGTACTTTCAGTTTTTCTTCTTTCTTACTCCAGTACTTTCAATTCAAGAATGTTATGAATTAATTCTCAAACGTGGATGTTCAAAAATCTTTATGCACTCATATTTTCAGTAATAATATAAAAATCGATAGTCCGAAAACTGTCAAATAAAAATACTTTTATAATTTGTTTTTGAAATCATTCGTATTGTCATTAAAAAAACTGATAAACAATTGTATAACGGTTAGCAGAAGCTGTTAGTATCTAATTAAGCAAATAATATCTCATTGATATTCCTTACTGTGAATGTTCTAAACCAAATTTACTTTCAGAAGGGACTTTTTAGAATTTCCTTCCGTTCTTTTTATATTATTGCGCAGTAGATGACAGGGGTGACGTAGTTGAGCATCTTATATTTCAAATTAAAAAAACTTACTCAGTAGTTAAGCTATCAATAATTTAACAAAGTTTTGCCAAAATATAGAAATTTTTCATTTTGAAAAACCCATTTCTAAATAAAATTATAAAAGGAGAAAGTCATTAGTACATGAAGAAAGAAAAAAGAAAATTACATAAAAAACTATTTATTCTTTAGATGTCCTAATGCTGATTAAATTCCAGCAGTTGAAGAACATGACTAGATAGTGTGTGCTCAAATGGCATGGGAATATTTTTCAATTCTACACTCGACATTTAAAAAAATGATTTGAAAAATCTGTGTGAAAGAAATTATTAAAGCTAGAATCGTAACAAGATTGGAATTTTCTGCTGGGAGCTTTAAGAAATTGATTTTTCAAAAAAATTAAAATAAGTTTTACAGACGTTTTATACATGCATACGGATTTTCACTTTTTTTCAGTTTTTTTATTTGAACAAATCAAGATTGCGTCATTTAGGTCAATGGATTATTATCATATTTTCAGTTAGTAAGCCTAAACTAAATTAGACTTAAAAGTTGTCATTTTTACATCGGAAACATCGAAAAACAGGTTTTTTTTATCAGAATCAATAAAATAACCAATAATAATTTGTGCGTATTTCAGTTATTATTACCAGATTTTTTGTTAAAATTAATTTACCTTAACAGCGACTGAATATTTTAAGTTTTATTTTAATCATATTTTAATTGCCATTCCTATGCGCCGTAAGCTGCACCTCACTAACAGAAATATTTGAATTAAAACATGGATGTCACTGATGGATTAATTGGTTTGCCACACCCACGTACACAACTTCAGTGTCAAAATTATTTTCAAGAAATAAAGCAAATATTTGATAGTTATCGATGGAATAATGTCAAATGGTGTCGACTGCTTTGAATGATATCTTACTTTGTGGTAACTCTTCTGACATATATGTGACTTTGAGCTTAGTCGATAACAAGGTGGTTTAATTACTGCTAAAATAATTTGTTTTACGAGAATGCTATTCTTTTCCTCTTTCACCCTTAGAGTGAAAGCGAGTAAAGAACTATACTCATCCCTCGTTCATTACATTTCTAGATTCCATTGAATAATATTTGACTGAATACTAATGAGAATATTTTAGAAGCAGTAGTCTCGAGAATCCTAGCAAAAGTCTCGAGAATTCTAACGGTCTATTTTTTAATCTTCTCTTGTTCTATTTTTAACCTTCTTTTCCAGAAATTACACTTTTTAACATGAAAATCTTTTAATTATTTACAGCAAGTAGCAAAAAATTAATAAAATTAAAAAAAGCGCAAAATTAATAAAGTAATTCAATTTCATCACTTTATTTCTTTCTTTCAGTTGTTTAATTTACTTGTCACTCTCAATGTTACTCTCAAATCGGAACTTTCTTTCTATACTGCCATCTTTTATTTTAGATGCAATCAGTTTTTGATAAGAATGATACCTGCAGTACCTGAATGATACCTTCATAGCATAATTTTTGACATTGCAGAAATGTTTTTGGATACGAATAAAATTCCAAGCCTTTCTGAAGAAAAGCGAAATTTTGAACTTTGTCTATGAACTATCTTACAATTTAGAGAGTAATTTGTTTTTGCTGCTGCTGGCCAGGTAATTTAAACATGTCTAGTCAGCTCCGTGAATACGTCACATTTCAAAATAGCAGATAAAATGTGAATGACGTATGCATAATTCAGGCTGCAATCATCAAGAAGTTACCAAATATTATCATATATGATAATAATAATATTCACAGTACATATGTTAATGAAGTTTTTCATCAGAAAAAAACTACGTTAATAGTTTAATAGTAAGGTGAATAACATGAAAAAAGTTCAGTTTTTGTAGTCATTAAACTGAGATCGCTGGTGTTACGAAGCTTCTGCGTCCTAATTCACGTAATCTTGATGTTTGATAAATTTTTAATGAATGAATTCATTAGGAAAATGATTACAGAATAGAGAATTAGTAGAAAAAAAATGCTTCCAATGGAGATTACCAACTGATAACGCTGTTCATCCACAAGTTGCGATGACATTTCAGCCGCTTCACGCATTATTCGGATTATTTGTCGCCATCGTATCTATTTTATGTATATCAGTGTATATAATCATTCAAAAGGTACCATTTCCAAAATATTCTGTGTTAAAAGATGAGATTTATCGGTGTATGGTTAAACTGAATGATCCATTTTGTTCATATGTCGTTGATTGTTTGCAATTAGTTCTTAATAAAATGTCTTCATTTGCTGAATCTACTATAAGTGTTATTTAACATAAAGTTTTAGATGGCTGAATAAATCCTAAGTTGAGTCATCACAAAAAAAATGACATTTTAAGGTTTCAGTAGTAAATATGGTGTTTGACGGATAACTTATAAAGTTATTTGCATCTCGGTGTGGACTAATAATATAATCGGAAGTTTGGAAAGGAATACATTTTGTATTTTGCAGATAATCATATCGGATCGTGATCTCATAAAATATTCTACTTATAAAATCATTCTTTGTTACGGTTTTATTGATATTATTCAGCTTTGCGTTTACATATGTAACGGTATTTTTGCAATAATTGGTACTTCAATACACAAGTGGATCGAAAAAGTTGGTGCATAAAATTTTTGAATACCGCATATTTTCCTTCGAAGCAATGTTTATTTGATCAAAATTCGATTTAGCCCAAAATCTGAACTTGAATTAGTGATTTTTCTGTTCAGTGACTAAAACATGTAATTATTGTATTACCAGCAGTATTTTGAGAAACTGATTCCGCAAATAACTGATAATCAAAGAATTAAAATGAAAATTTCTTAAATTTCTTTATAATTAAAAGGTCAAAAAATTTAAATCAATTTTTTTGAGCATTTCAGATTTGCGGTTTTCAACTCAGCTTTTGCTGGTACAACATTGATTCTTTGACAGTTTTGCTGGCCATAAATCGATTAGCATTATTATACTTTGGTGCGCCGGCCGAGTTTTTTTTCAATCCAAGAATGACTTCGGTTTCTTAATCGACTTAAGATTATTTTTAATAAGTTTAAATTGATTAAATCACTTAACTACCTACATTTAAGTAAATGAAATATTATTAGCATCGTCATTCCACCGTTATTTCACCTCACTTCTTATTCCCTCGATATTTCCAAAAATTGTCAGTGCCTTTCATTCAAGATAAAATTTATACTGCAGTAATAAAATGATCTGTAATGAAAATAGTAACAATAAAAAAAAAGACGATAATGTCACAATATCTCATTATTTCCACTCCTGAAATGATGATTACTGATAGTACTGGGACCCAACCATGACAAGCAAACCTACAATGCTATAACAGTGTGTCTATCATTATTCCATTTCAGTTCATACTGTGTTTTACAATTGCCATACCATCAGTATTTTCATTTATTTGGTTGACACCTTACGCCACTTATGGATTCAGCGCGGAAAAGTTGATGTGGGTATATGATAGTCCCGATTTCATGCCTTCCTTCGATCGCATAACTACTTTGGGAACTAGCATACTGTCTACTACCTGTTACATTCTCCTATTGGGACTGGTTTTAAATAAAGTTAGTCTTTTTTTTTGTATTATATATCATTGAAATAAAGTTCATTTCTTTAATATAAATGAGAAATAGCAAATCACACATTTGTTTATTCATAATTACTAACTTATAATTAAATGTGCTCTGAAAACTTATATAATTTATTTAAATAGCTCTATTTGTAGGGTTTACATATTGACATGAAATAATATAACTTTAAATTTCTAAAGTGATTCCATTTTTTTTATTTTTGTGAGATTTAAGTATTAAATTTAAAATTGTGGAACGTGCGAACTTTAAAATTTTTTTTAGTTAAATTTAAGTGTAAATGAACTGAGAGAGAGAGAGAGCGATCTTGCTAACCACGCTATCAAAAAAATTAAACTGGCGTAGAACATGAGAAAATATAGCAATAATTTTAGAGTTCTTCAACAAGTAATAAACTAAGTGACAGTTCAAGACGTCGAGATACACTGTTAACGCTACAAGTAATAATCAATGGAAGTTATACTATCTGTGTTTCCACCTATTTCATGTTCTTAAGGCCTTACTATGTACCTTATACTACAATATATAACGCAGTTGATATTATTTTATGTGTATTGTGGAATGGAAAAAGTCCTATCATGCACTTATTCTTCAATCGGTAAAATTTATAACTTTCAATTAAAATCACCTTAAAGATGATATAAATTTGATGTTGACTAACTCATATCTGTTTCACCTCAGTCATTTTAACTGCTTTTAATAAATGACAAATTAGATTGAAAGTATGGGTAAAATCAACATTATATATCATTTCAGATATATACGTGCAAATTTTCTTGAGAATATTCGGAACCGAAAAATTTTCTCTTTAATTCTAAATGTGCTGCTGCGCTTACGACACAAAATATCTGTCAGTAGCTTGCCCTTAAATCGAGTGGTACCGGTGAAGGCGGATTATGTCGACGAATGTGAGCGATATAATCCACAGTTTAAGCAAACTTTTATCGTTACTGCAAAAGCAACTACGAATGTGTACCATTAATCGATCTAAAAAACAAAATATAGAAAGTATAAAGAAAAAGTTGGAAAAAAAAAATGGGAAAATGAAATTATGGACAGAAGTTATTTCGAAATACTTCGTAGTTGTAAACTTGGAGCTTTAAGCATAAACGAAATAAAATTAATTAGTTTCACTTCAGTTTGCTGTTGAAGCATAATCACTATCAATCATTATCAACAATATTGTAACAATGAGAACAGAGGAACATTTACTTGGCTGTTTTGTAACTAAAGATTTGTATGTATCAGAAATAGTATACATATACGTAACATTTCTACTTTTAAGCAAGGATGGAATTTTCTTTCTCATATTAAGTTGAAATTGGATATTTAATTACAATTAATAAACATGTGTTTTCTGAGTGTTCTTCCAAGATAATTCAAAACCCTCATTTTTTTTTCTTGAACGCGAAAAAGTCTTGAAAAGAAGAAAAAGATCTTATTTTACAATATGTTTCACGAGAAAATGCTTGATGTTGTACACTTTAACAAAGACTAATAAACTTATAGTTATGTGATATATTCATTAAATAACAATAGCAGCAGAAAGATGATGGTAATTTGAATTGACTCCAACGTCGAAATAAGAAAAATTTTATAAAATTAATAATGTGCAGTGCTACTGTAATGTCCTGCAATGATTTTAGAAGATAATAACTATTAATATTCCAAACAATAATCTCTATTCTATTGGTCTCTGACGATTGCGAAAAAAGCCTACTGCTTTGAAATATATTGGAAAATATCAAATGTTAAATAAAACTTAACATTCTACCAGACATTAACGAAGTAACTAATATTCGAGAATAATAGTGATTATAGATACAGCGAATCACATTAATGTTGCATTTCACCACTGAATCATGACAAATACTGTATCTAATTTCCTCTCTTTGCTGACCTCAATACAGTCAGTCTTCTTGAGGAAGTAAATCGCATAGATATAATTGGTAATAACAATTAAAATAATGACTATTAAAAATACAGTTAGATTTGAATATGTTTATTCATATCACTGGAATGAATCATGAAAACGGGTAAGAATAACTTATTCCTGTTATTAAAACGTGAATATGCGCAATGGATATATCTTATATAGCATTTTTCTGTGCAATGTAATCGTACCACACATAAGCTTCAGGAATATATTACCTGCAATTTTGCATATTTCAAAATATTTCAAATTTCAAAGTTTTTCAATTTTTTCAATTTACTTGGTTATTTCATAGATATAATTGGTAATAACAATTAAAATACACATATTTCAAAATTTGCAACTGGTTTTTAGTATTAGAATGATTTAATCTCTTTTATTTTCCTTGGGATTTAAAAACTACTTTTATTTACTTTTTGAAGTCTAAAAGACACTGAACAGCGTTTTCAAAAAATTACTTCGTATTTATCGATCTTCTACGTACTCTTCTCCCTCCCTCGGTAGTTTCATCAGTAGTCATTGTGGGCGTTTCTACAGGTTCTGCTTCCTCTGTTGTTTCGTCCAACATTTGCTGCAATAAATTCAAAGAACTTGATTCATTTATTAAATTTCGAATACTGTTGAATTTGAAATGCATATAATCTTAACATATGAAAAATTAAGAACTAACCTCTATTTTGATATATCCCATTCGTTTCACATTAGGTATACGATTTACTGCACATTCGGCAACTGGTGGTGGTTTTAGATCACCCTTTTGCATATCATGCAATTTCTTGCATATAATTTTGAAATTTGGTCTATTATCTACATTTTTTACCCTGAAATGATTGAAGAAGAGCAATACAAAGCAGTAATAATATGAGACAGTCAAGAAACTTTTTAATCAATGATTAGTTGAACAAGAGCCATTATGGGCGAGGAATGAAATATGGAAAACGATAATAGAAATGTGATATATCCCATTCGTTTCACATATTTGGAGTATTTCACAAAAAGTAACAATATGGGTTTTAATGAGAAATTTGAGAAAATCATTGAAAAACTGAACCATATAGTTGAAACTAAAGCTTTAATTGATGGTGGTGTTATTGATGGCATTTCTGGCATTCGAATATGCCGAATATTTGTAGCAATCCGTTTATTTTCATCATCTGGCCATGGCTTTATGCCCAAGTTGAAAATCTTAAATGATATATAACATATGAAATTTAAATGATTTTATGGAAAGGATAAAACTTATCAAAAGTTAATGAAAAAAAGAAAAAAGATTGCAGTTGACAAATAGCGTCAAACCTCATATAATAGAACCCCAAATGACCATACATCACTCTTCTTCGAGAAGTGGGGATTTTTTACGAGCGTTTCTGGTGCCATCCACCTAAATATGAGAATACAAGTTGACGATGCTAATGTTTGAATTTTGAGCAAGTGATAGAATACTTTTCACTGATTATTTTTTCGCATCTATTTTTCTGTATGGAATTTTCATTGAACATCAAGTTATTCAGTATTAAGATTGGGATTACATAATAACAGCAAACAATGTATATATGTAAAAGAAACTGTACATTGCATATAAATACTTAAAGGAATTTTTGATAAATCTAACCTTATTGGAATACCGTTCAATTCAATACCATTCTCTCTATCAAGTGTGTCTGCTTTACTTAGACCGAAATCTGAAATTTTCACCAAACCCGTCATCGAAATAAGACAATTACGTGCAGCAAGATCACGGTGGAGACAACCCTGCATGTGCAAATACCGCATGCCAAGTGCTGCCTGCAAATTTACTTTAGAATCCTCTTAATTCTTCGAAATTTCTAAAAATTCCTTGATTTTAAGTGAAATTCAAACTAGTACTCAAGCTATATATTTTTTTTCTCCTTTTTCTCCAATTCAAGCTATATTTTTCCTATTTAGGAAAAAAAAGAATCCATGCAACCTCTAAACAATATTCAATTCGTTCGCCGATGACGATATTTTCCTTTTGCTTTTTGAGATGATTTTCCAAACTACCACCAGGACAATACTCCATCACAATGGCTATTGGTGGTCGATCGCATGCTACTCCATAAAACTGCAATATACTGCATTCACTGCTTCAAATGTTTCATTTCTAAAGAAAAATATGCTAACCTGAACAATGTTTTCATGATTGTAAAAACTCATAATTTTGCCTTCCCTTATCATTGATTGCTTCGCTTCGCGTCCACCACCTTTTTCAGGCTTTATAATCTATAAAGTTTTTTTTTTAGTTAAAGTTATTAATTGAAGTTCAAAAAATTAAAAACAAACATTAAAATAATAGAAGAGACAAGTTATATTGATTTGACCTTGATTGCCACCGGAATTATTTGCTTATTGCCATCTTTCTCACAAGTAAATGTGCCAAGATAGACATCCGCAAAATTTCCTGAACCAAGTGGCAACTGAAAATCTTTGTTGTTAAGAACTTAATTTTCACTGGGACCATTTTTGGGGTTCTACTCTATTTGCCTCATATTGGCATAATCTTTTAATGTCCTTACATATCGTAACGCATTATAACATTTCTTGAGATCTGACATATCTAACTTTCTTCAGTAATTAGAAGCTGATAGTACCAAATAAAAAATGATTTTGAAGATATCAAGAAATGATTCGTGGCATGATCAAATTTAAATAACGATGTGGGCGGAAACCACTCTTAGGTCTCTCAGCTGAAAATATTTAAATGACATGCTTTATTTTTGTCGTAATTGATCGCTTCATGTTTAACAAGCCATTTAGGTTTGGGTACTCCATCTCCAAGACGAATATCTTTGCCGCTTGCATCTTTTATCTTAATTTTATGCATCTGAAAGCGAATTCCGCTGGTATATTGATTCGAAAACACTAAGAATGAGTACTTCAGATATTCATTTTCAAAAAATAAACCTTATAATATTGGACCAAGTCGTAAATCGAGGGAAACCTACGCCCTCTTCGTAGTACTGACAGTTGAAAATGGCCATCTTCCGTCCTACAAAATATTTCAGTGTGATAGAACACAGGAGAATCTTACAAATAATGAATAATTAGTTATAGGAAATTTTGTGAATATTTGAAAATTCTCAAACATAAAAGCATGACATTAAATGAAACCAACACAGCAATAGTTAGATGAATATTTCTTTCACCGACATGTATACTGAGAACAATTTGATGTACTCCTTGATTGTCCGTTACACGCACCAAAAAGTCTCCATTCTTAACCAGCAACTTCCTCAAATTGAATTCGTAACCCAAAAGGATGCGATGCATATCTTTAAAGTCTAATTCTCATCCTAAATAATAATTATCTGCTAATTAGGTTGTTGATACCTCGAACAGCTTGGTCTTTGTCAGCAGTTTTGCTTATCTTCTAAATACAACAAGGTCAATTTTAATTATAAATTCATTGGATTTAATTATATCCATTAATCATATATTCATTGAATGCCACATGCTCATAAAAGGGTATAATATAAAGCACATTAATGGGTTAAAACACAGTTATACCGCAAATGTTTCCAGAAATTTAAAAAGCCTGACTCGATGTCTTCTCTGGACAGTAAACCATGATACCAATGTTGATCTTCTAATTCCTTTCGCTGCTGTTTCCTTGACTCCCTGGCGATATCTCCTTTCTTACCTAAGATTTGCACATCTGAATAATTTATTATGCACTGAGGGCAAAATACTGATATTTCACCTTGAACGGCATCCGAGAAGTTATTATTGCAATAGAGGGAAGAAAGATTTCTATCTGTCTATCTGGGTCTCCATTTGCCGACCATAACGTTCCAGCGAAACCAACAATATGTGCAATTACGCCAGACTTCCTCCCCTTACTACTTCCCAGACAATTTTGAACACTTTAAATTCAGATCTGTAATTGTTGACTGAAATACATATATCAACTCCCATTCAACCAGTTACCATACCTGCCATTATCCGGCTGCCTACTGCGAACAGAAACAGTGGCAAAAGCCGCCCTCGCGAATTCTTCAAATAAAAATGAATTTATTTACTATCTCCTACCATGAAATTTACAAGTTTTTAAAATTTTAAAAAATGATATTTATAAGTCTTCAAAAAGCGCAAGATCGGCGGCGATTATTCAAAAATCGTAACACACTTCAAGCAGTGATACAACTCGTGAGAGGTTACAAGAGCGATACTGATTCAACATAATTTAAATATGCTTTCATGATCCAAAAGTTGGACAGTTAATATAATGTAGAATATCCGACTAAAATTTAACATATTTTGGAGACAACATAAGATTCTCGGAGTCTACGTGCAGCAGAAAACTCTTAATAAAATTTAATGCAATTTACAATGAACTTGGCACATATGTTTATTATTTGTTATTATTGATTGTTACTATTCTTTACTATTAATAATAATAAGTATTATAAATTATTACTATTATTATATTGCTGCAGTGTTATTATGGTAATTTAATTGATGAAATTTATACATTAATTTGAAAAGTAAAAATAACGGAAACAAATATCTGAAACATATCCGTACAATACAGTAACGAAAAAATCGTGATAAAGTTATCATTTCAACCGAAAACAAATCGCACATTTCCTATTCACAATTTCGAACCTTTCACCTACAAAATTTTTGGTCAAGAACTGCCATAAAACTGATAAGTCAGATAAACCACGTAATGCGTGATATCACGTAAGTATATCATCAGTAAATATTAAATAATCTTCAGAAGAACTTAAATTAGTCATGTTTCCGATATTTACTTTTATATTTAATCACTTCAATTTCCTGTTTCCCTTTACGTTGGTCTCCTTTGCTTTTTCTACCTCTGACTTCATTATCCTGACTCACTTCCTCATTATTTGTATGCTTCCCTCGATTTTCCAAATCGCTTGAATCACTTCTTCGTCTTTTCCCCTTATCACTACATTTACGTTCTTCTATTTTATCCTCTTCCCGTCTATTTCTATCACGCTTTTTTCTCTTATTCCGTTGTTCCTTGGTATCCTCTCTTCCAATAATGTATCTTTTGTGTTTCTCTCCATTTGATTCATTCCTTTCATTACCGGTTCGTTTCTCTTCATGTTTGCCTCCCATTTTCCTGTCATTTATGCTGTCATAACTTCGTATTTTCATTTTTTCTCCGTCATTTCTTCGTTTCTCACTTACTACTTTGCTTACTCCACCGTGAGATCCATTTTCCCAATCACTTCCATTCTCTCGACCAATATTTTTCGAGAAATGATTTTTTTCTTGGACAATTTTTGGTATTTTTTTCGTCTTTTCGCTCTTTTGTAAGCCTTTCATTTTATGTTTCCATTTTTCATTATCACTGCTGTCACTGGTCTCTGATGAAGCTAAAAAATCTGGTGTAATTAAATTATCCCTTCTTTAAAAGGAATACTGGTAAGAGAGAGTGGAAGAATCGCTAACTAAAAAACAAATTTCGAGAACTAACATGTGCTGGAAATCGAGTCACTACTACTTTCATCCGAATCTGAGTCACTTGATGAGTTTTCTGAAGACGACGAAATTTCTTCTTTTGCTTGAGCGCTTTTTCGAGCTTGATTCAAATGCAATCTTAGATCGACTCTAAAAGCAATAACGAAAAAAAAAAAAGAAAAAACGCATTGTTTGGGATATAACTGCTGCTCATTCATTATCCATTAAAACGGTCATAAACTATGTTCGAACCTTTTGAGGTTCATGAAACAACACTGTGGCAACAAAAAAATGAATAAATTATGCACCACAACATTTTCAATATAACATGGTCATCACTGTGATATAAAAAATGAAGAAAATATTAAAGTCAGAGATCTTGCTTGAGATACTCAAAATATTTCAAAAAAAAAAAAACTCTCAAAATACCGCATTTTTTTAAATGAAAAATTCATTTACGTAAGATATCCGAGACCTATCGTAGTAAAGAAATTGATCGAAAAGCGTGTATTATTCGGATTATCACGCGGGAATATTTTGTCGAAAGAAGACTGCATTGTCCTAAAATGTACTAAAATACATATAAAACTCACCGCCAGATCAATAATATTTATTGTTATAAAAGAAAATTTGTGGTAAAAAGACAACAGTTTAAGATGGAAAAATGAGATGTTGCTAAACAAACTATTTTCGAAAATCTTAAATAATGGGAGTAGCCTATGAATCGAGGGAATAAATAACCTACGGGTCGCGAATTCTCTGCAATAGATTTTCCACGCCTAAAAATTCGGCAAGTTCTTGGAACACTATTTTAATGTATATTCGCCCAGAAGAAGTTGTGTCCTCCTCATTTAATGATATCTGGTCCAAGATCTAGAAGAAATAAAATAAACTCTACAGGCGATAAAGTTGAAATAAAGAAGGCAGTCCATCAGTTGATGTCTGAAAAAAAAAAAGAAAAAAAACTACAAAACAAGCTGTTTCTTCTTCAATTTTCGAAAACAAAAAAACAAATAACAGAGGAATTTCTTCTTATAGAATAATGCAATTATTTGTGTAAAAACTTACATCCCATGAAATAGCATCGGTTGAAAGAAGATGAGCCACTAAGCAGGCCATATTGCGAAGTTTGTTATACTCAAATCGATGTATGGTATTGTAAGTATCGCGAGCAATGCGTTCGAAAGCTTCTTGAAATTCTTTGCGAAGCCGGCAAAATCGCTCCGCAAGTAAACCATAAAATTTTTCGTAGGTTCTTTGCTGAGCACAGCAATCCACAATCATATTGCAAAGCTCCACCTAAGTAACAAGGAAATCAGTATTTTTTGCTACGAATTATATCATGACGAAGACAATTAGGAGTAAAAACTGACATCTTGACCACTTTTCAAATCAATTTTAAGTAATTTATGAGCTGCTTCCTGAAAGTCGAGGGAAGACTGAATTGTCAAGTAAATGTTGCGTCGAAATGCCACCAAGTTCTGCTCTGTGTTGTCGATGATCACCATACTTTGTTTCTCCTCTAAATCAAAATCAATTTGAAATTAAGAATCGATTCATTCCAAAGAAAATAAACTTAATATTGCAAACCATGTGAAATAATTATGTTAGCACAAAATTCTTAAAACCTTGTTGAGTTTCTGTTGCCTCTTCATCTGGTGTTTCTTCCCCTTCCGCTTCATCCGAGTCTCCCTCTGCCAAACCAATTGCATCGCGTCGAATTTCTTCGTATTCTGCCTCATGTTTTTCAAATTCAGGATCATATTTGAATACATCTGAAACAGAAAATGAATTAAATTAAATGAAATAATGAAGCAGATCTAAACTATTAAATTTAAAGTATGAAATATTGGTAAAAGTGACAATAACACTGTCATCAATGTCAATGCCAATAACTGCAGCTTACTTAATTCATTTTCTGGAACAAGTGGATCCTCCAGCGTGACGGTATGCGTTATCTGATCGTCTTCTTCTATCAAATCCAAATCATCAATCAGTGCTGGATAAGCCTTTAAAAAAAAAGCTGGTAGCTGGCAGCCTAATAGTTCAAAGAATCTCCGAATTACAACTGCCTTTAAATGACGTATGTTCGTCATTTTTCCAATTATATATACAGGCCACTACAAATAAAAGTGATGATTTCCTTAACTCTAAAAATTATTCTGAACTGCTTCATAACAGTACCATATAATTTCATAAGTTTATGAAATAAATTGCAAATCATAAACTGCACCTGGAATTTATCTTTCCGGATATGAAAAATAACTTCGATCATGTATTGAATTCTTTTGTCTATATCCGAATCACTCAGAATACTTCGTAATCGATCAAAGATTGCTGAAAACTCCATTTCTTAAAAAAGAAAACCACAAGGGAATCCCACCTTCACTTGGAAATGTAAAGCTTAGCTACAAAGAACAATATTCGTGAATAAAATTTACCATTTAAACCACGAGGAGAAATTTCAGACAGTTTAGCACCGCATTCTTTCAAAAACGCTACTGTGACCTCTACTGAATCATCAGTTGGGTTTTCAAGCATCAGTATCATCATTTCCAATGCAAGGATTTCGTGAATCTGCAACCAAGAATTTTTGTAGATCAGGAAGATGCATCCACTAGATACAAATTTGCTATGCATTATGTATATTGCTATTCATGACACTATTAAAACAAAAAAAAAGTGGAAGCACTGAACTATGCAAGTCAACATGATTCTTTACTTAATACTGGTAAAGATTTTCACGCTGATAAAATCCGAACAGTTGATGAAAAGAAGATAGAAAAAGAATATTCACCACTTGCTGGTTGATAAGATGAGCAATAAATTTGGATATTGTAACAGTAGAAGCTTTGTCATTTCTCTTATAACACCTTTTAAATTGTATCAGTAATCGATGAATAATTAACATTCCAATATTTGGAAAATGACTATTAATAACAGCAACTACTGCTGCATATACATTAGAGAATGTTGGTGAATATGACTGTGCTTGGATTATTGATCGTGCCAACAAACCTCTGAAAGTACTTATGTCATATTTTCAAGCAAAAGGAAATTATTTTACAAAGCATTTTTAAATTAATGTAAAGAATTCACACAGTTGCTTGATTACATCAAAATTAACATTTATAGCAAAGATAAAATAAGACTGACAAATCAATTACCATATCTCATACTCTTCTATACACATTAAATTCATAATTTTAAGAAAAAAAAAGCATATAAAAGGACAGAATTTCAAAAAACCCTCTCACCTTCCTCGAATGACGTTCTCACGCAACAAATCTCGTATAACATTAAGCAAATTACTGGTATTCGCTTTGTTCACCTAAAAAAATGCTGACGATAAAAAGTCATTATATTATAATATCACCGTGTCAAACTTATGAAAAATGCACTTGGCCATGAATCCGTTTTTTCAGACGCTCCCAGTTCAGTCTTTGATACATTTCACTGTTCTTATCACTGATCTGCTCTTGCATCATTTTAAGTTTAGCTGGTGGGATATATGCACCACCCGTGCGAGTATGCAACAAATCCATGTCTTTCTTTGGTTTTTGAGCCTTTTCCAGTTCCAATGACATCTTTGATTCCTCAAATATTCCTTTCAATCTCTAATAACTCAGACATATGGTATCTCAACACAAAGAACAAAAATATTAAAAAATATGATGAGGAATGTTGTATTTAATAAAATCTTTATCAAAACCGCAATAATGATTTATGTAAATAGAATCAATGTTTATATACTCATTCACAATTAAGCCATATGTTATGGCTTGGCAAAAACCAAAGCACTAAGCACAGTTATCTGCTAACCGTTAATCTTCCTACAGATTTCCTCATGTTTTTCATTTCGACAAAAAAGTTCAACAAAGAAGAACGGTAAAGAAATGGACTTCCCTATATCCAATTCAACAATTTCCCAACATTTAGCAATCACATTCTAATTTCAATAATCATTTCTAAACCAATGTTTCTATTTTGTACTACAAAGTTACAAGGTGTCCAGCTCAAAGTGTTATTGAATGCTAACACTTACATACTCATTGTGTTAATATTGCTTCTTACTCAATCAAGATCCTTACAATGAACCGATCAGTATCAGTCCATAACCCCAATTGATTTCAGACTATAAGACTACACTTCTTCATCCTAACTGCTCATCAGTAATCAGCAACCTTATCTATCCCTACAGTTGTCTCCACCTAAATCTCAGGTATAGGATCCCACAAGCAATTAAACAATTCTGGAGAGGACACACTCGTTCATATCGCTTAGTTGGAAAAGACGTGCCACCGAATAGAGGTCGGCCCAGTATGGTTGGTGAGAGACTAAGTTATTTCGCTGAAATTATTTTGGAAAATTCCTGGAATTTTGTCCATGAAGGATAAGAAGTGGGTAAGTTGTAAGGATACTGTTTTAAACTTTGTTACAATTTATTTAAACACAGTATTGTCTGTATTTGTTGAATTTATTTGTCTCGTTAAAGCACGGAAAAAAATCGTATTCATTTCGGAGCAAGAAGGCTCGAATTCAAACTTCAAGTGTTGTCTCCAATGAAGACACATGTTGCACGCTTTTGAACCCCAATAAACAACTTAATCGTTATAGCAGCACGATCTCCTGTGTCTCTTCTTCATCCAGTTCGAGGTTTCAAATCAAATTTTTAAACTTCTTGATTTCTGTAATATTCCGTAATATGCAAGTTGTTTTAGGTCTTCATCTGTAAAAAAAGGAGCAATTCAGGGTGATTTCTTATCATCTCTCAAATTACATTCTGAAGGTATGTGATTTTTCTTTGAGTTATTCAGCAATCCTGTTATGCACAGCGTTCATGGAGAAATTAGTAGGATTTTTTGCTTTGGATTTAAAAAAGAAAAGATTTTACTACTAGCTAAATGTACGCCTTTCATGCTGCATACGTTTCTCTCGAAGTCATTATTGCATGCTATTATTTTTGTCATTGTAGTATCCCATTTCGATCATTTATTGTCTTCCGATAAGGATGAAGTAATTTGAAATATTTGATTGATTTATACTTACTTATTTAGTGAGATAGTAGCATTAAAAAATTTCATTGTACAATCTACTAGTACAGTAAAGGATATAAACATCTAATTTCTAAAATAGAAATAGCCCAAGGGTATAAGTCTTTCAGAAAAATTGAAGTCGATTTCATTTTACATTGACAATAAAGAAGAGATGGTTCGCCATATGTTTGCATCACTTCATAAAAGAGAACTTTATGAGTTGTTGCCGGAAAACTTAAAGGTTTGCTGTCATATATTGCTGATGTCTGCTGACTATATATATATTTTTTTCTGAAGCACTTTTACTACATTTAAGAATTTGGAAATAGCAGAGCTTCGCTATTTATGTGTTAAAGAGCTGAATGGGATGTCTAAAAAGAATATATACACTATTTTGAAGGGTTGGTTCAATCGTTGTTAACTTTTTGTAGATTTTTGCAAAGGCAATAGGCTGGTCATTGTATATATTTGCTTTTACTATTAAATACAATTAGTAACTTTGACTTATTTGTTTATAGGGTTATTCGCTTCAGTATTTTATCGGATTACTTCCTTGCGTATTTGTAATCCTCTTATTTAATTAAGAAAAAAGGATCATGTAGCACTCTTTTATTATAATTATTATGTTTAGGGAAAGATTTTGTCGAAAGTGAATCTGAAGGAGAGAAAAACGAAGCACTTACTATGAGTACTGATATTAAAAGTATGTTCATTAGGTGTTCTACATTATCATTTTGATCGTTTGTAATTTTTTTTTTTCATTTTGATGTTTTAAGCACTGAAAACTGAGATTGCTGTTGCTGATTCCACAACAGAAATGACTGCACCGAATTTACCTGGGTATGTTTATATAATTCGAAATATTAATTTTTATTTGATCCTAACTTCGAATTAAGATGAAAAATGCAAAGTAATTGTCAACTGAATTACGACTCATAAACATTAGTTAATCATTGCGAATTGATCAAATAAGAGAGATGAGAAAACGGTAATGCTGTCCAATGATCTTTAATTTTAATCTATCCCACTGATTTTTGAAAAAACTTGAACTTAACTAGATTTGTGAACTCACATTTTTAGTGTTTTTCAAACAGTCAGTACAGATGATATCACTGCCTGCAACAGTATCATGAGCACTTCAGAAATCCATTTTGCTGCAGTTGAAAGCATTTCTTTAACCAAGACTCGTCAAGAAAGTGAAACTGTTATTCAGTCCGACTTCACTTCAGAGTATAAAATTTCATCAAGTCACTATGCAGATATATTTGATAGCAAAGACACATCAAGCCCCAACCAGGTATTTGATGACTTATAAAGTCGCGTACTGTCCGAAATCACGCCAGGAATTACGTTGCTTCTTTAAAAGAAAGCTTATCAAGATTAACATTAATTATAGTGTTTGTAACAATTTGAAGGTGAATGCAGTTATAATGGCAAAGAATGATGACGAATTGGAAGAAGGAGAAGTTGTGAGTGACCAAGAAAAAAGCACAAAATCAGACAAAGGTGACCCGTTAAAGGTTTGTTTATATTTGGTGTTTTGTCCAATTTATGTAACATAATAGTTGTATAGTGAATGTAGGGTTTCGTTAGCATTCTGGCATGGTTCAGTGGTTAAAATCCTCGTAGTGTAGTGGCAGGAGTTTGATTCCGGGCACTTTCAAGGGCGAACAATTGTGTCTGAGAGATTGGTCGCTAATGTAAGTGCTAGATTATAGCGAGGTTGTGTTACTTGTGTGGGCACTTTCACTTTACCCATACAAGTGTCAAGAGCTTCGAACAGAAATAAAATCCAACGGTACATAAATTTCGGTTTCTTCGTTGTAACCAAATTGTTCAATTCTACAACTTTCTATTGTACAAATAAATACGAATAATCAAGCTATTATGTTTGAACCGATGATAATAATGTTTATTTGACTCATCAAAGTTTCTCCAATGTGGATTTTTATCCTTTTACACTTTTATACGAGGGTAAAGAATAAAAGCTCTTTTCTTACTCTTGCTGCTGGCGAAAAAGTTTTCTATTGTACTGTAGCGTGCGCAACAGAAATGTAAAATGGTATTTAGTTATATGTTCTTTATTATGCAGTAATTGAATTTCTTGATATAGCTAAAAAAAAAAAAATGAATTTTCTCCATAGAACTTGATGTCCTTGGCGATTATTCCTTCTAATATTTTAATTTGCAGCAGTGAAAGTGATTGTTTATTAAATTACGGAGATACAGATCATAGAGAAAATTGATTTATATGAAGAAATGATATTTGTTGTAAATCGTACATATGGAAGTAAGAACTTGTAGTGAAAATCAAAGATAATATTTTTTTTCAAGGGGCATCAACATCTCACTATCCATAGAGACCCTTTTGCTGGTAATCTACATGGTGATTCATCCCCGACATCAATGTCTAAAAAGTCAGGGAAGTAAGTGTCTTAAGCAAATTTTCTATTTGTTGATTACATTTGAAATACTGAAAAGTGTCAGAGGCTCATGTTTAACCAGATTTCAATATCTGCAGTTCTGGAAATTCAGCCGATACTAATAAAGCACGCGAAGAGAGAAGGCTTCACATGCTGGAATTGGAGCTGAGAGCTCGTGCCATTGAAGCGCTTATCAGACGGAGTGACAGTAAGTCATAAGTAAACTTTATCTGATCATTTCGGTATGATATATGTGAGTTTTATTTTATTTCCTAGAGACGAGGAAAATACATTTTCATATTTATGTAGAACTTTCGTATTTGTTATGCAACAAATTCAAATATTGTAAGTTGATCATTTAAATATCGATCAAAAATGATTTAAAATTTTGAATTTCCATGTGCCATTCTTTTAACGCTCCTTGCTAGCAGTTTTTTCTTAGGATCGAAGTGAGTTTTTTGTGATTGTATAGATGCTTTCATATTGCACTGTAATACAGATTAACTGAGAACTTCGATGCTTAAAGATCAGAATTCCTAACTTGCATTATGCTCTTTTTTTTTATTCTTCCGTGGAACTGTTGGGATTAATTTTAATGACGATTCTAAATTTTAATGTGCAGATTTCTTTGTAGTTAGCTTTATGTTTGAGATATTAACGCTTCTATAAATATTTGATTGCAATTGATAGCAGGTCATGTTATGTTTAATCAGCTTTGTTTGTTTCGCTTACTGTTTTTTTGTTTAGGTCAAAATAAAGTAATTTGAAATATTACTTTCATTTCCTGATCACAGCTTCTGTTTTCTAGAATGAAAGGATTGCCTAACATCTTCCCTTTCGCAGTTAAGATTCGAACATCCTAGTACGAAATTACAGTTCAGTCGATTACTTTTATTACTCTTTCTGAAATTTTTTTAGTTGGGTTGTTTGGCAAAATTTGGTTTGTTTGAGATTTTTAATAGATGACTGCATCAGTAATGATTTTCAACTTCAGACTGTAGAAAAATATTTTGCTTCAGGGTCCTTTTTGAACCGTCTCGTAGTGAAAAACAGGTTTGGAAATTAGAATTGAAAATTTATTTCAGTTGTGTACCCTCGTTTGTCTTCAAATTTCTGGAATTCTAAAGTTTAAGGAAGCTGGTATTCCAAAGAATTTCTTGCTCTAAAATTCTGCTGGAGTCGAAGAAACTAGAGCACATTCTACTGGACATTTCGCTTAAACTATTTTTTCCAAAATTTGTGAAGTCGATTTATGTAAATAGTTCTTTTTTAGGGCAGTGATCGCTGTTTGATATATGTAAATTTTTATATATGTAAATTTTTCGCATTCAAGCATAACAGTGTCACAGTTTATAATGCTACTATGAAATTATCTGAGTATGAATGATTCCGAAAGCAGTAATCACGGGCTTTTTGTTTGGATAGTAATAGCAAGTTAATCAACAATATAATTTTCATAGAGCTGAGCGGAAAAGTGAATTTTAGCTGTTTTTTGGTTTATGAATAAAAACTATACTGATAAACGGCATTTTAAAGTTCAAAGGTTTCTCTAATGACGTAGAACACAGGTTATTTTTAAAAAAGAAAAGAGACTTTTCAGAGTGATATACTGGTCTTCTTTCTTCGCACATATATCGGAAGATAAAGATACAAAAGATCCAAGAAAAACGCAGAAAGTGTAAATTGTTGAGAACTTTCTTTTTTTGTTTTCGGAAAAATAATGAAGAAATAAAAGCATTCATGCTTCAGAAGAATGTTTGCCACTTTTTGCTACGGATCAAGCTTGTGTGGTACCCGGACTCGATTGAGCAGCTCAGTAACTTATCAGTAACATCCAACAGAACAATCATTTGTGTCATTACCATATTAATACATTAGTGGTGAAGTGGCAGTCATTAGTTTATATTGCACTGTGTAAAATGAATGATAATTTATTGGATATTGTTTTAAAAGAACCCAGCTTACTCCTTTCAAGCCATGGAATAAATTAATTCACGAGGTTCTCCAAATTCATTTCAAAATTTCTTAAAAAATCGTGGTATGATCAAATATGACTTTTATAGAGCCAAAGAAAATTTAGAGAACTTAATCAGAAATATAGGTGACCGAATGACTCGTAATATTCTAATCAAAGAAGTAGTCCTGGCTAAGAAGGATCCATTTAAAATCATCTTCCTAGTCTGTTTTATCACTTAGTTAAATTCACTTTTAATGATTTGCAATTAATGCAGTTTGTTTCTTTATTCTAATGAAATGTTTTCTTTTCATTAATATTAGGTTCAAGAAGAAATCCAGTTGAAGAAAAGGTGCAAAGAATTAGTGAAGTAACTGCCCGTGAATCGACGGTTTTGCTTCATCACAGAATGATTATTGCGAATTGCGGCTTTTATTTTAACGATTGACAGCTAATGCAGTCTTCAACTCATCATTTTTCGAATTATGGAGCTGTCCTGAAGGTCTAAATTATCTTCTTTTCTAAATCACTGCGAAAATTCGCGTCAGTCATAAATGATATTATTCCGTAAGAGTGAATGCATCCATTACACGAGATCTGTAGAATACTTCTAGAAAAAACTTTCGGCTCTAAAATCATTAATTCAAATGGGTAATAACGAGGCAGACAAAAACGAATAATGATGGTATCATTTCGACATTTGACATCAGGTTTTGCTGTATTTTGTTTGAGGAAACTGGATTGTTTAGTAAAATTTCAGTAATTCGAAATTTACGACATAAAATGTGTAAAAGAAGATTTGTAATTAATCTGCAATTGTCACACTACAGATTTAATTTTCAGTTGAGTTAGAATAATTTACAAAGTAACTTATATATCTTTAGTTTTTTTTTTGCTTATTTCTCTGTCAGAACCTTGTTTTTGAGAGGAGCAATGAATTGAAGCCAGAAAATTTGCCACCAACTTGATGAAAAGTTTCTTTAAACAATACATTTCATTATCAAATTCTTTGAGTAGTGACAGTTGTTATGATATATAAAGTTTCGAGAAATGTTTGGCACTGCCGAATTATTCAATGTAGTATTAGGGAGAGAAAGAGAGAGAGAGAAAATTTATAATCTCTATTAAATGCCTACTTCCACATGCGGTAAATAATTATTCCTATTAATGACGTGTTGCCAAAGGACTTGAGCCCAATGCGTTGGTCAAATATTGTGGCAAGATTTCAAATTGAAAAATGTTGATAACACTTGTTTAAAATTAGCTAGAATTAGCAATAGGAATGACAGGTGTGATCTCTGCAACATCAAAATTAAATTATTATTGGATAAATAATATATTGTCATACATATTCAATTAAATGCTCCTTTTTTATACAATTTTAAATATCAAACAGAAAGCAGAAAATTTTTCAAAGGTTAAAATTAAGAATTAATCTTCTTAATTATCTAATTTTATCTTAAAATTTATAATCTCTATTAAATATCTACTTACTAACCCATGCGGTAAATACTCCCGTTGATGAGGTGTTACCAGAGGACTGCAGCCTGATACGTCAGTTAACTCAAATTCGTAACAAATATTGTGGCAAGATTTTAAACTGAAAAATGTTTGATAACACTTGTTTAAAATGAGTCAGAATTAGCAGTAGGAATGATATGATTAACTGTAAGAATGACAGGTGTGATCTCTGCAACAGCAAAATTAAAAGATAAATTTGTAAAATTTAAGAATAAAATGATTTTAAATTTGAAATGCTAGTTTGTTAATTGAACGGAAATTTAAGGATTTCTGTCAGATAGACTTTCAAACGTATAGAAACGGAAGAGCATTTGAACATTTGAAAAAAAAGTCCATTTGAACGTGAACTATTATAAATAAGAATAAAATTTAAAATAAACAGGCTGTGCTATAAGATTACAACGTATGATAAACACAAAGTTCGAATTTTTGAAAGTGAAACACAAATATAGTACGAAATTGTTTGGCAAATCAATAATTTAAATAGATATTTCTCAAAAACTGAGTCCACCATTCTCTAAAGAAATGTGTTTGCAATGTCGGCAGCAAACAATGAAAAAATATCAAATACTGATGAGATCGAGAATCCAGAATTTTCTATGATTTGCTTCCCACTTTGTAGGAAGAGCATAACGAACTTGTGCTGTAAAGTGGGGACCAGAACAAAAAACATTTGTCGTCTTCGGAAAATTCCAGTTGGTGCAAAATTTATAGGTGGAAATAAAAAGGGAACATTAATTTGAAAAAATGACAGTCTCATTGGAAATAAATAAGTAATGAAGCCTAGGAAGTTAGGTTAATTCACAAAATTCAATTCATATTTGTAAATTCAATAAACAGCGCTTGAATCAAATGAAACCGTAAAGTGTATACACTGCTAATAAAAATTTTTTGCTGAGCTTAACTTATCCTATTTCAAAGATTTCAAAAAAAAAAAAGTAAGAATAAAAACAAATAGCCAATGGTGGACAAAAGCTAACGAAATAACCAGTTGTTAGTGGGATAAGTCGAATTCGCTGCATTATAATGTAAAACTATTAGTACAATTGAGTTTTAATCATTGATCAATGAAAGTAGTTTAATTTTAATAAAACTTTTTGCATCAGTTCTAAGTTTTCTTTGACACACTGTTCGATACATTTTTGCTAGAATGAAGTAATCAATATGTTCTGTTCATTTTCGATCAAATGAGCTGCAATTTTTATTTGTAGAATTTGAAAATTAATTTTGAATTTGAAATGTTCTCATTGACGTCCATTAAAGTGCTAAAACACTTTAATAACTGTCCAATAGTTTTTTAATCCAGTGATTTTTTCGAAAGCATATTGAGTCTGCCAAAATTTTAAATATTTCGTTGATTAAATATTTCGTAAGATTTTATTTGTTAGCAAGTTATAAATTTTTCTGTACAATTAGTTAAATTAATTAATTAAACAGTTAGTCTATTTGTTAACGATACTTTTAAAATTATTGTGAAGACCAAAAGTTGTTTCATTAATTGGCAACATATATCTTCAATTATATCTCAAATTTTTTTTTTCATTTATTTACTCTTAGCTTCAGCTTTATTTAACACTTTTCAATTTTAAATTATATTTTTTTTTTAATGTTTTTTAATGTGGGCCAATCCTTTTCTATTTGATGAAAATTTTTATAATTTTAAAATCTTTAAAAATTTGCAGAATTAAAAAAATTCATATAACTGAAAATAGAAAGTTATAAATGCCAATAAATTTAGAACTGA